GTAGAGGAGAAGAATGGGGGGAGGACATGTGGGAAAGGGTCATGAGCGGGATTCGAACTCATGACCTCCACATTGGGACTGTAGCCCTGCACATGGGACACCAGCTCAACCAGGTGAGCTATAGCGGCGCCCCAGTAGATGTCATTTTTCAACCCTTTCAGATCCCGGTCCAATGATCTGTGTCCTGTGCATTTGTAATCTCCTTGGGTCCCCTTACCCTTTTGATTCATCAAGTACAAATCCATGCCCCTATACATTGACTATCAGGGTTATCAGTGTTGAAGTGTCTTTGCAAGTTAGCACCAACTAAAATCTTTGAACATTCGTTTTTTTTTTCCTTCACATGCTGCCCTTATTGTATGACAGCACCAGTTTATCAGCTCTTTATTACACACTAAGCAAAAGACAAAGGTGTAAAATTATTTCACTCTGGCCTCTGCACTGAGAAAGCATTACTGTATGGCCGTATGTCATTATTAAAGAATACTGCATTGGAATCCTGTTTTATTTGCACAAATACGGTAAATCAGTTTGCAACATGTGCAGCCCAGAGTGTTGCAACATAGACAGAGTATAGCTATCAGAGGAACTCACTTTTTGTCACTTTCTTGTGGTCAGACATGGCAGATACACTATTTAAAACGTGTGTTATTTATATCAGTGCTAACATTTGTGGTTTGAAAAATTTGTGATTCTTCTGCCTCATTCTATTTTTGATATTCTGACTAGAAAATAAAAGGCGATTCAACTGAGTAGGAAAGTTTGTTCTAGCTCTGTTTTGCTTTACGGCAGTTTTACGGCATTAAGAGAGTTATTTTTTTTATTTTATTGCATTAGCTTTGAGTTAAAGCGAATGAGGTTTGTGACATTGACAACAGCATGCATGACTTAGCTGTTTTTGAAGTGACAAAGAATCGCCCTCAAGAATGAACTACATCTAAACTAGCCTAATTTTATTCATGATGTATGATTTTCAATAACTTAGAGACAGACAGGCCTCATGTGCCTACATATGGTTGCTAATGTAAGACTGATAGTTTTAGAGATTGACCATACATCCACTAGGTAAGCCTGACCATGAAGACAACATTAAATTTCCAGCCACCACTGAGCAGGATCAAGCCGGCAGTGTTGGATGCCATAACTCCCCTGGCCCCAGCCGACATCCAGTTCCCTTACATCACCAACGAGCTCAAATCAAACGGGGACTTAACGCCGTCGCTGGATTCCCAAACATAAGTGGAGCCATAGACTGCGCCCACATCGCAATCAAAGCAGCATCACTAAATGAGCTTAATTTTGTAAATAGAAAAGGGTTTCATTCAATCAACGTACTGATAATTTGCGATGCGCATTTGTGGCTATCCAACGTTGTTGCCTTGTCGACTTGGAGGAACACAACTCATTCATTGAGCAGAACAGCTCTGTGGATCTCCAAAGCAGGAGCTGCTGAAGACGGCTGGCTTATTGGTGAGTGTCATAGAGTGTGGAAATGTTTTGGCTGGACTTTGTTTGGTTATTAAAACATGCCATCTGTAGTGATCAGGGTTATCCACTGGGTGAACGTTCGGTATTAAGTCATCCTCCTCCAGTTGCAGTCATTTCTCTTTTATGGACTGTGATGCATTTTTTTGGCACTGAGCTTAACGTCAAACCACTTTTTAAAATTTTTCCCGGCGATCTCTCCTCTGACCAACAGAAATAACTGCGGTGGTTGTCTTGTCTGCATTATTTTTTCTTACGCTGCTTATCCTAACATTTCACGCACCAAACAACATGTTCTGGTTTGCTTCAACCTCGCTGACAATTACCTCGATCTCAGTTTCAAAAGTTCCTCTTTTTCGCCCTTTTTGCCACGATGATGACAACAGGTGAGGAAAAAATAAATCTTCACCTGTTTTATAAAGAGGCGTGTTGTTGCCCTATATGGTGATTTGGAGGCGTTCCTGAAGGCAACGTGCACGAGCACGGAGGTTAAGAACAAGTGGGATTTATCAACACTGATGTACGTACGACCCCCGTACGCACATTTGATAAATGCAGATCGTTTTTGTACTTACGCACACTCTAAATGTCATTCGTACGACAGAATTTAGAACCTTTTCTACGCACTGATGATAAATGAGGCCCCTGGAACTCGGGAGTTGGAGCTTCTGTGAATCATATTTGTTGCAGCACATTCCCCAGCNAGCCGGTAAAAGTAGTCGTCCACGAAGTCGAAAGTGCTATCCAGTATTTAATCGGAAAAGTGTCTTGAAAAGATAAGTTTTTTTTGCTGTTTACCGGTGTTTTTCTTTCAGCAGCAGGGCGCCGCCATGTTGGATCTCCCGTAGTCTCGCGATGGTCTCGGTCTCAGAGCGTCATCCTCTCCTCTCTCCTCTCTCTTTTTCACAACCCCTCTGTTCACCTGCTTTATAAAGGCGCGTGTTGTTGCCCTATATGGTGATTTGGAGGCGTTCCTGAAGGCAACGTGCACGAGCACCGAGGTTAAGAACAAGTGGGATTTTTCAACACTGATGTACGTACGACCCCCGTATGCACGTTTGACAAATACAGATTGTTTTTGTACTTACGCATACTCTAAAGTTCATTCGTACGACAGAATTTAGAACCTTTTCTACACGCTGATGATAAATGAGGCCCCTGGAACTCGGGAGTTGGAGCTTCTGTGAATCATATTTGTTGCAGCACATTCCCCAGCACCCTGTCGCCATAGTTTGTTCCTCCTTGGACCATGGCCAGTAGGTGCTCATGGTGCTGACTAGGAGCACCCGACAAGCTTCGCATTTCAGACATTCTCCAGTGTGCTCATTTGGCCCTTCCTCTCTGGTTCTTGACAAAGCTGCTTAAGACTTTACACCTGCACATTTTACCACATCCAACACACTGACTACAAAAACCAGGCGATCACTTACCTTATATGAGACTATTTTCCAGAACTTGACAGGCACCAAAGTGATCAACTTTATTCAGTTCATGTGTGAGGGGTCATACTTTGGGCTCAGAGGTATAAACTGAATTCACTCATTTATGATACAGAATTAGATGGTCTGCACTTATATAGCGCTTTTATCCAAACGCTTTACAATGTGTTTCTCATTCACCTATTCACACACCAATGGTGACAAGGCTGCCATGCAAGGTGCTGCCTGCCATTGGGAGCAACTTCGAGGTCAGTGTCTTGTAGGAACTCTAACTTAGTAACTGTTAACACACAGATCTCATGAAGAAATGCTTGATTAGGACATTATTCATGGAGCGCTCTTTCTCTAGCTCTATTGGTTTTTGAGCTTAACTTCGCAAGGAGACAGTTGTCTATTGTGTAATCACTCACTTTCAACCATCCCCCTGCCTTAAGAACACAGCACACAGTTTGATAGTTTCATTTGTAACCAATGTATGGGGAGAAATAACCACAAGTTTGCTGACATGTAGCTACCACATCAAGTTACGATCACACTCTCATCTTCAAGAGTCATTTAAATTAGCCGAAACCAACAATCTCGGACTCTGTATGTCTCAGAGGGAAATATTTTACATTGTACTTAAATTACAAATTAAGATGTTACATGCAAATATTATGTCAGACTTTTGAAGTATTATGCATTACAACTGAAACAAATATGTACCTAACAGTACATACTGACCTTAATATACATCATTTTGATCATTAACTTATCAGAAAATCAATCATTTATCTGCAGTGAGCGCTTCTCTTGGCGATACTTTAAAATACTGTGTCTTGCTAATACTTAAAACACGTGTGTGTGCGTGTGTGTGTGTGTGTGTGTGTTTTAGATCAGTAATCATATCAGTCACTTTCCCAGCAGCGAGTGAGACGTTGCTATGGCAAGCTGGTTTCTTGCTGTTAGCATGTAGGTCATACACAATAGCTGACCTGTGGCTTGACCTACGCATAAGATTTTTGTACCATGGGCATACAGGATTATACTGCAGCTAACGTGGAGGTTGCTTCATGGTGCTCTTAATCATTTAAAGATATAACTTCCCCCAGCTTCTACTGAAATTCCGTTGCGTAAGACTCTACTTCCCCTTTACTCCCATCTACAAAACATGTTTTTGATGTAATCATCTTAAGTGCAAAGATAATGTAAGACTCTTCTAACTTTTGCCTGGAACTGAGTTTGCTCATGACGAACCAGAGCAGAATGGAGCGAAAGATCTATACCTGAAAGCATCACTTTTTGCTGAAGCCCCTATTCATTTTTGACAGCTGGATTTTTTTTTTTTCCTCCCCTCTCCTCCAAATGGCAGAAATTTAAGCCTGAGCTACAATTTATCACCGAGCAGCGTGCAGGGTGAAATTCAGCAGTTGCCGCTGAAGGAAAAATGAGACGCTGAGGCAGGAGGGTAGTTTGGCAAGTGATCTGCCAGAGCTGTAACACAGAACCCCATGCTAGGACCAAATTTAGAGAATGTAATGAACGCTGAATAATGGTGTTTACAACCGTGGGTGGTAAAATGACAAGCTGACTTATGATTGGTGTCATTATTGTAAAATGCAGGTCATACGTGCTCTTAAGTGTTAAAATAAAGAGCAGATTAAATAGACAGAAGATTCAAGGGTTCTGGAAACAACTGTTTTAAAGGCGTAGTAAACGTCAGACTGAGGCTGACAAGGACATTTAAACAGACCAGGAAGTCGCACCCAAAAATCATGTTTACTCATTGTTTGTTCTTCCTTCTCCTATTTTAATTTTGCCAGCACACAACAGAAATACATTAGTGATTCTTCGTCGTACTCTCTACACCGGATGCTCCGTAAAGTCGTCTAAAAGCAGCAACAGGATGCTGCATGCAAGCACAGGACCCTGTTTTTTGATTACTTCTTCTGTAGTTTCTACTGAAGGTCAACGGTAGTGGTGATATTTAGTATTTAATGGCCCAAATAAGGTGCAGTAAGATTGGGAGCTTGTAAACTGATTTCTTAAATGTGACAGATGTAAACCTGTAAAATAAATAAACCTCAGACTGTTACGTTCATGCCACTGAGATTGTTTTTATTTGAAGAAAAAGCTCATGAAAAACAATTTTACATGTGTAGAAAATATTTGTCTTTGTTAAAAAAAAAAGACAATCAGATGTGTCGAAAGTATTTACATATGTAATAATAGTCATAATCAATAATAACAAATGCATGTACAAAAATAATTGCATTGGCTGAACAAATAAAGTGCATGTATACAAAAAAATATGAAACGTAATAGCATGTTTAGAAATGATTTAAATTCACCCCGCCTGTTGTAGGCTACTAATACAAAGGGGGTTGATTTAATGAAGTACTTGATTTACACAAGCAAAAACAGCGGCCAAATGAAACAAACACTAAGCAGCCGCAAAGCTCTTCAACACTTTTTGGTGCTGCCTCCTCACTGTTTTCTTTCCAAGTTCAAACTGGCATCATGTAAGGTCTGACTAAGCAGACAAACAATGAATCATCACAATATATTATCATCAACAGTTTTTTTTACATTATACAATAGCAATTTTACAAAAAAAAACATTGTTCATTATAAACCTGTCTAATAAATATGTTCTAAAAAGCAATAACATAAAGAACACTGATTAAAATTGGAGCAAAATCAATAGTCACAAGCAGCACTTTGCAGGCTCAGACGGTGTGTAGCTGACATACGCTGGGGGGAGAAAACATTGCTGTTGAACACAAGATGGGGTTTAGAGAAGAGTCCAATGTTTATCACCTTCATCAGACTTAGAGCTTAATAAATCAAACCCTGATTAGTGGAGAGTAAAGTCACTAAAATCAGTTTGGGAAGATTTACTGTAATCCAGACGGCAAACAAGAACAAACCTTGCAAATCACTAAGGCATCATGTGCAAATAGTTCAGTGTACACATTTCTCTTGCTTTGGAGGCAAATGTAATTGTTCAACGACAGAAAGTCTATATATATTGCATTTACAAAGATGGAGCGGCAACTTCTACTTCTCTCTGTTTGCTTTTGGTTTGGTTGAAAACGTGGATAACAGGAATATAGTTGATATCAAAAGAGGTGCGCTTGTGACTAAAAACAACTAGGATTGAGCTGCCCAAGACATTTCACACCATCACGCATTGCACTTTAAATACATCCGCAGCCTAATTTGATTGATCTTCTTGGAGCTTTGACCCTACCGTGGAAATGCAAATCACAAATCCTCCAGGGACCTTGGTTCTTGGGAAAGTAAAGCTTGAGGAGGTTTTGGCAGAAAAGGACCTTAGATCTCAAGAAATTGTTATAAAGCATGGCTTATATTATTTATTTATGCTTTTTTCTGAATGCAAGAAAAATTGTAGGCAGACATTATTGATCTCCACCTTGACTGTCCCAAAAAAAGCCCCACAAACTCAGACGGCACTTTGTTTAATAGCTTGTCAAATCATGGTTTGTTAAACACATGTCAGTCCTGAGAAAGGCCTAAAGCATATTTGGTGTACTTTTTGTGGACATGTTGGTTTTGCTGTGTTGACTGACAGAAATGTGACGCTTTAAGCTTGGGAAGCGTTTGGCCAGCAGCTGTTTGAAGTAATTCTGGAATTTTTTCCCTACAAATGTGTAGAAGATGGGACTGATGCAGAAGTAAAAGTAAGTAAAGGTGCGAGTGGATTGAAGTGCATAGCCCAGTCTCTGTCCTTCCTCACAGTCAGTGGCTCTATCATGGATCACCTTTACAATATTAAAGGGAGTCCAGCAAATGAAAAACAACAGCACAATGATGAATATCAGCCTGACTGTCTTGAACTTGGTAACTATCTTAGATGACATGACAGTGATTATGATCCTAACATAGCAGTAGACAATAACAGCCAGAGGGAAGATCAAGAAGAAAATCTGAAGGTAAAATCCAGATTTTCTCAGCTGATGACTATCAATACCAGGAATGTCAGATTCAGACTCATCACAGTAGGTTTTGTTGTCAAGCCGATTGAAAAATGTGGTGTGGAGAATCATGGGCCTGATGCACGCCAACCCACTGACCAGCCACACCACGGCGCAGGAGATCACAGCATACCTTCGAGTCCTCACATGTGCCGCACCTAAGGAGTAGACAACTGCAAGGTGTCGGTCGAAGGTCAGAAGAGCTAGAAAGAGGACAGAGCTGTAGAAGCCCAGGTAGTAGACACTACCAACAATCCTACACATAACGTCACCAAAGATCCAGGTGGAGAGCTGCATGTAGGCTCCCAAGAAAGGAAGGCTGCCCATTAAGATCACCGAGGACAAGACCAGGTTCAGCAGCAGGATGTTGGTCACAGTGGTCAGCTTCTCAAACCTACAGGGTGGTCAGATAGAAAGTTGTTGTTAGAACTAAACAGTGACTTCAACGGTATAACATTTTACGACAGATTTTTTTTTTCTGTGACTTCTGATGGTTTGAGTAAAATTAGTGACTCGATGGATTGGTTCTTGGCAGTGAAGTAAATCTCACTGATATTTGAAGAGGTCATATTGGAATAGGAACATTTTTTATACACAGTTCTTCCTGTTTCATCTTGTTGTGATTGTGGTCAACATGCTAACTTACTGACATTGACGCTGTAAATTTGTGGCCATTTTAAAACATTGTACTCTGAGGCTGTGCTCCCAGGAAGTCCCCAACCAACATCTGTATACATACTAGAGACAAAGCTCTCTAGTAGCTGTAGTTATTAGGGCACTTGTCTTTAGATTCAGATTCAAAAAACTTTATTTGTCCCCAGGGGGCAGTTAAAAAGGCATGAAGAGCAGGCAGTGGGGGACAGAGGAAGTCAGGTGGGGTTCTTGTAGAGCAGTAAACAGCATCACCATTGTTCCACGACTTTAAGCGTGGAATGGCCCTCAAACCCTACCCCTTATCCTAACCCTACAAAACAGGTCTCAATCATGAGCCAGACCATGTCATCCAGTCAATGGGATGTCGAGGCTGTCAAATCAGAGAACACTTTTGTCCATCACTCTCGTGATGGACAAACAACATACGAACAGTACATCAAAGATACGCTCTTTTCTCCTTCTCTAAAATGCTGAAACTTCAAAATTGATTCATAAAACAAACTAGAAAGTCTGCACAAGGATGTTTTGGTTCAAACCCATCATCAAATTGATTAGTTCACCAGATACATTACTACACCAACTGTCCATAATACCAAGAAAACCCATGAAAGGACATAAATAATCATTACAGATATACTGTAAATCCACATAGAAAACATCTTGAGGAAAAATTCTTACTGAAAAAATCAGTTTGGAGAAAAATCTTGAAAGCATGAGATTGGAGCAACAGTCTATCTCCATTTCATCCACATCTGGGCATATGAAGCACATCTATGCCAATAAATCAGAAAGTAGCTGACATTTACAACAATGCTGCAGATGGTATATTTATGTTCACAGCACTTCTTTTGGTTTATGAATATAAATAAAGGTACAATAACGTGAGGATAAGTATTTAGAATTACATGTAATATGATTTTTTTTTATTGGTAAATGTCTCCTGTGAGAAATGTGCAAATTGTGTTTATTTACGAAGAATATTCTGAAGTTCCTTTACTGCCAAATCAGACTCCCTGAAATCTTTCTATGATTAGGAAGAATTTAGTGGCAAAATGTTGAGGGAACACTGTTGCAAAGCGCTTTCTAATACGGAATCCAGACGTAACTTTGGATTTGTTGGGTTTCTAGTGTAATTTTGTAAGATCTTCACCTTACAAAATAACGTGCCTCGAGATGATGTGTTATGCTTTAAAATAGAACTGAATTGAAAACAGAAATGAATTAGATAGAATGTACCAGTGTTTTCTGTCAAAATTCTTGGAGACTGAAGATTTAAAAAAAAAAAAAAAAAAGTACATCCAGAAGTAATCATTATATTTATTGGGGGGCACATGGATGCCACACACTGGCATCCCAAATAATCATTAACAAATGCAATCATAATCATAACTAAACTTAACTAATTATCCCTATTAGTACTACCATTGCTAGCATTATGGTGTACTGTATTTCAGTTTGTGTTTTGCTGTCACATCCCAGGAGATTCCACTGCTCGACTGCTTGGGTGGGTACAATGTCAAACACTGTACTAATTCTCTATTTAATTTATTTTAAACGTTTCAAAAAGGTACAAACTAAAATGTGATATGAGTGGCTATATCACTGTCAATTGTGATAGTTTAAGCAAAGGGTTATGAAGATGACAAAGTATGATTGCCATATTCTCAAAATCTCTAAATTCCTGTCAGAATGTTCACTTAGTGACACACCCTCCCATTACAGAAGGAAAACAACAGCCGTCACTGAAATTAGTTGAAATTAGCAAAAGTAATAAGAAATAAAAATGTAATGAAAATCATGACATTGCTTTTGAATTGTGGTTCAACAGAAGTATTAAAAAAGAAAAAAGAACAAAAAAAAAACAAGCATGATGGGACCCGTGAACTAATATTTTGTTGAACAACCCTTTAAGCCAACCACTGCAATCAAGTGTTTTCTGTAACTTTCAATCAAATTTCTACGCCTGTTGACAGGTATTCTGGTCCACTGCTCATCAGCAAAGTGCTCTAATTTGACTCTAAACTGACTGTGAGCACACCAGAGACCTTTCCTCCCATCCTCTTGTTGACAGACTTCAGGTGGTAAGGATGGGAGGAAAGGTCTCTGATGTGCTCACAGTCAGTACGGGGTCACCATAGGGCTGCTGCCTCAGCCCAAAACTATTCACCCTCTACACGCATGACTTTGTGTCCACCCAGGACAACACCATCGTCGTCAAATATGCTGACGACACTACTATCCTGGGAATCATCGCGGGAGGAGATGAGGTGGGCAACAGGACTGTGGTCAAAAACACAGTTGTTTATGGAGGAGACAACCACCTCATTCTAAATGTAGACGAAACAAGGGACATCATCGTTGACTTCAGGAAGAAGGCCCCACCGATGAGGCCCCTCTCCATCAAAGGGACTGAAGGGGAGAAGGTGGACAACCACAAGTATCTTGGCCTTGAACTAACAGCTAACCTGAGCTGGACTGCCCTGGACCACACACTGGCCTACAGAGGGCTGGTGAAGAGTATCCTCACCACTAGCATCAGTCTGGTGTGGAAACACTAGCCAGGCAGAGTGGAAGGCTCTCCAGAGGTTGGTGAAGACAGCAGAGGGGACTGCTAGGGCTGACCTTCCTTACATGGACCAATTATACACAAAATAATGCAAACAAAAGCCAATAGCATCATCACAGACACATACAACCCAGCTCACTCTCTTCTCAGACAAAAACACTCGGTTTCTACAATAGCTTCTTCCCTGTCACAGTCAGACTGACGGCAGATACAAAGTAAAACTGGACTCACAACACTATTGTGCAATATCTGTGGTGTTTGCTGTACACGCTTCCTCTGTTTTTAGTTATTTATCTCGTCCATAACTTGTTATTTTTTACTGTATATAAATCCATACCTTATTCTTCTATGTGTATATAAATGTTAACCCTGTGTATATATAAATATATATATATATATATACACAAACATCTCTGCAGCTCTTTTAGCCCTGCACAAAAAATTCCTCCCAACCAAACTACATGTGCATGTACATGTGGCAATAAAGTTCTTGACTTGACTAATTTGTCCAGGGCAGTTTTTGTTTTGTTTTGTTTTGTTTCCCACCTACAATTCAAAAGCAATGTCTTAATTCACTAAATTATAATTTAACAAATTTTTATTTATTATTAGTTTTTTCAGTTTGTAGCTATTTGAGTGACGATTGTGAATTTTGCCTTTTCTTTAATGGAAAGGTATGAATACATTTGAGGACAGCTGTACATTCCGTGCACTGGCTTGCATTAAGTGGAAACGAATGCTGGTGACAACGGATCAGTTTGTCAATGCGTTGATCAATCAATCATCACGAAAGCTCGTTATCCTATCTGGCGGTTACTGTCTGCCCACGTGAAGTCCAGGTAATCATTTATATTAAACTGCATAATGCGATTTACGCACACAGCTTTCATTTGCTGCATGTTATATGTTTAGCATTGATAAACAGCATTGTTGGGGTTTAAAGTTCAAGTTGTTATATTACTGTCAACTTTCATTCACAGTGTCATCGTGGCTAAGAGGAAGGGCGCAGTGACATGTCAGCTTTTTTAGACAACCTCAGAAAAGACAAAAGTTGAGAGCAGAAGCTGAGTACTACTTAAATGATAGAAGTAAACAGTAGCAGCACAAGAGATGAGTCAATGTTTTTGGTACAATAATCGTTCCCACTTAGATAAGAAGCGGTCAGTGATCCATTCCTGGACTTCATGGCAAAAAGCACCATTTATTTCCTAATACCATTTTCACTGCTAAAAGAGAGACTGAACATTGCAGAGCAGTGAGAGCAGTTAGCATGAAGTTAAAAAAACTGCACATATAGCTTTCATGTAGGATGAGAGATTTGTTTGTTCGCTTACCGATGGATGATGACCAGGACCAGCCCGTTGCCAAGGAGACTGAAGACGAACATAAAATAGTACAGGGTGGCCAGCTGAGCTCCCAGATGGTTGTCACTGTCCCGATTACATAGTATGGATGGCTCCTCTGTTCCACTGTCGTTATAGTCGTAATCATATGTTGTAGTTGCCATCTTCATCTCGAAGGTTAGCAGGAAAATCTGTCACAGACACAAATGTAGCCATCTGACATCCGCATCCACAATATAATGCAGTCAGAATAAACTTCAAACAACAAAATGATTGAGCCTTTTTGAAATATTTTCAAGCATGTGATGGCTGTTAAATTGTTTAAGCTAAGAAAACAGCATTAACTGAGAAACCACGAAGAGCCTGGGAAAAAAAAGCAGATGTTTGTGAGCTGAGCTGACTTACCGCCTGGCCAGCAGAGGAGTTTCTGCTTGCTGTCTGACTCTGAAGGCCACAGTCTGTCTGATTTAAAGAGTTCAAGCCACTCCAGAG